TCACTGAAAAACAAAAGAAATTGCAGCTCCCTCTCTTAGGGCCTGTTTACATGGAGTGGGAGACCCCGGTCTAGTGGGGTTTGTTTCTTTTGTTTTCACGCTCTGGGGGACCCAAAACAAAGGAAACCTACACCACTAGACCGGGGTCCCCCACTCCATGTAAACAGGGTCTTTTTCTCGCTTTATGACCCTGGGTTAACTTAATTCACTTCCAGTGAGTAAAATATTGTATAAAGAGGAAAGAAAGGAGAACAAGTTATTAACTGGCCGTTTTTATGCTGGAGACGTTTAAGTCGTCTGGTGTAAGACCGGGACGCAGAAAAGTAGAGGTACACATTGAACAAAACAGAGTTTTCTGAAAAGGACAAAAGAGTGACTCTTCCCAGTCGTTTTCGAACGGGTTGGGCGTGTAAATGCGTCCCAGTTTACGCCATCCCGTTTTTAGGCTGGGCCCATTTAACGTCTGAGAAGTTAAAGTCGTTTGTTAGTGAGTGCATCTGAACGACGCAATTAACAGAAGACGTTAATGTCGTCAGACGTTAAATGCGTCTGTCTTATTTGCCGTTTTTACAATAGATGTTATAGTCATCTTATGACGGCTTTATCGTCTCTAGCATGAAAATGATTGTAGGTCTGTGCACCCACTTCTCGGTGTCGGGAAATTGGATGAAACAGTGCCTGTCGTGTTTGAAATATTACTTCACACTATCCCTATCCTTTGAGCAGAGGCTAGTGTTTCGTTAACGTTGTGACGTACAAAATGTAGTCTCGATCATTTTAATATCAGTACGCAATATCGATCTTTCCTGAGACCCAGGCTTAGGGCGCCAGTGGTTCGACGGTTTGTTCCAAATGAGCTCCCTTGCCATACGCGATATGGTGCTTTGCACATTGCTGTCCAACCTTCTCTGCAAACTATCGACTGTTTTTGACAGACGCATTATGACGAAATGCTCATCTCAAGTATTGAGTTAGGTCTGGCCAAAAAGCTACACCAACTGTTTCTTCACTTGATTTTCTTATATCTTTCTTTTGTTTCTTCCCTGTACTATCTCCGTTGTCCGTTGTTGTTACGAAAGTAGTTTCATGGAGATTACACGTGACGTCCGCTTTTTAGGCAAGCGAGTAAATACGAAAACACAAACTTAGCCTGCGAGCTAGCCTGCGCGCAGACGAAATTAAACTCTGAGAGTTTAGTTATCGTCTGCACGCAGGCTACCTACGAGCAAGCTCACCCATTTTGGCGAGTAAGGGGAGTCTCGCGAGAACGCGCGAGCGAGCGGCGAAGCCGCGAATGGGCAGGGGCAGGGGAAAGGAGAGCTTGCAACGATCTCTCATAAAATTTCATTTGTACTTCGCCCAGACGAAGGGAAATACCATTGGCTGAAAAATGACGTTCCGGAAATCAAAGTTGATTGATAACAGGCTAAGCTGGCACCCGCTTCGTCTGTGCGTCACATTTGGTTCTCAGGGAGATCAGTTTACCTAGCCTCCCACGCAGGCGTTTTTAGGGGAGCTCGTTTTTCATAGAGGGATGAAAAACGAGCTCCCCTAAAAACGCCTGCGTGGGAGGCTAATTGGTACCGAGAACTTGTTTCAGCTCTCAAAGCAGACGGGCTCGTTTGATGTAACTGGACGCAAAGAGAATATTGCGAGCCTAGGATAGGTCGGACCGAGTTTGTAGTTCTAGTGGAAGGAACATGAAAACCCTTCATCAGTTGTAGTCGTTAGTGTCAAGCGCCTTGTTTAGTTTCGAAAACCGGCAAGGTGAAAGTGAAGAGTGATTCAAGCGCTGTCTTCCAACGTCGGTTTCTTCGCCCGATTGAATTACACTAGGAAGATCGGTTTCTTCGCCCGATTGAATTATACTGGGTAGAAAAATTCAGAAACATGTACTTGACAGTGTAGCTGTGCAGCGTGACCGTAAAGAAGGAAAAGAGAAAGAAAAGAATTGGAAGCAACTGGAGTAAAACTTAAGAGAACCAAGTGCAGGAAAACGCTATTTGCCAGTTCCAGACGAACAAATATATGATGTTTTTGTTGATTGCGATGGGGAGTGGTCTTCTACGTACACTGCAGTATGGACGACTTTTCAAAAGTAAACGAAACGAGAATCAAAGTAGTGAGTTCTTGTCCGAGCGGACACGTTGAAGTTCGGTGTCCCCGTGGAAAAAAATCATATCAGTGATTAAAAACATTGCTTTAAAGGGACTGGTTCACGATAATACGCATGCGCGCCGTTTGTCTCTTCAGAATAAATTTGTTGGGTTAACACTAAATTCGAAATCGCCATTACCGGTACAATCATTGAAAATCCTTCTTTTTATTCGGACATCCGTCGCTTTGGCTGGTCTAGTTATACTTCGGTAGTGGTGATTAACGTGTGGTTGTGTCGTTTGACTGGTTACGTTTTAAGAAGACGCAAAAAAAAAAATGTTTTGATCATGGAGGTTCAGAAGAGCATCGTGGCCGTCCGGCAACAGGACGTTCTCAAGAGTCT